GTTGTTGCTGATATTCCTTGAAATATGTCCACCTGCAGAAGTAATAATTTGGAATATCTGAGTATACAGACATATAACAGTTGAATATTTTCTACTATGTGATTGAAGTTTAATATCTTTCACCTATTTTATGCAAAACAATTCTTAAAATGAAATTTTAAAGGTTAAATGAAATTATATTTTAAAAGAAATTCGAATAGCTATCCTTGCTTGAAATACTGAAGATTGTGAAGCTAAGCAGTTTCGAAATTATATAATGATAAATAGAAGCTTACGCAGCTTGCTCTCTATTTTTATATTGAATCAAATGGAAAATATTTTGAATTAGATTGCTTCCGAATACACTCTAAGCTACCGCTCATCTTGAAAACTTACATACGTGTCTTCATACAAATCTGTATATCTACACATTCAGGCATTTATTGAGACGATAATGATATGAATAACTTTTTCATATCATTATCGTCTCAATACGTAATTCATGGTGGAGAACTAGAAATCTGATGTATACATGCTGATTTTCAAATATATTAACCCATTAAAATATTTATGATTATTATCTACGTTTAATAGTCTTTTAAACTTATTAATTCGCACATTCTAACGACATTATACTGACACATTTTGAAAGGTTTAGTTTTAATAACAAATTTAACGCTAATAAAGTGCTTGTACTAATGATATAAAGTAAACTATCTCGAACTTACGTTAAAATAAGTGCCGCCATTCCTCCACCCAAAGATGCGTTGATGGTGTTAATAGCTGCTCTAAATAATGAAACAATAATCAAATATAATTACCACTTTCAAAACTCACATTATCTAAATCAGTGAAAATATTTAAGATGTAATCAGTTTATTTTTAAACAAACTGTTGTGTCACTTAAAACAATAACTAGTTTAATCAATAACCTAGTATTTAACAATAACCTAAATTAATAAGGAACCGCCTACCCTATAGAATGATCATCCTGTCTCCTCAGAAACATTTAACCATAAAAAATTTATTTACCCAATTGTATCTATAAATCCATCAGTTATTCTGTTTATATTAATTCCTTATACGAAGACGACTCAAAAAAGACCGAACTTTTTTAATTACGTGCCAGCAGCTTCAGATACCGAACTTCGGACCACCGTTCGCTCCTAGTAGCATTTCTTGGTAACTATCAACTTTTAACTGCGTTTCTATCTATGCATCAGTTGTCCAGTAGCTACCAGCTGAATGAGATCGTGAAAAAGAAGCTCGTCGGATTAGTGAAAAAGCAAAAATAAAATAATGTAATTGGAGGAACAAAGCGTTTGTGTGAAAGTCTGCATAAAAATGATAAAAACTTTCGTAAAATCATTCCAGATGCATAGCCGAGAATACAAAGATTCCTGTACAAGCAAAACGTATTGCTATGATTGGTTTTAACGTTCTAAGAAAGGCAGAAATTTCATTCCTGAAGATCCAAGGACTGGATGACCTTCCACTTCAACAGATGACCAACATTCTTATCATGCACTATGAATTTGTACCACATGATCAAACAGTAAACAAGGAAATCTGACAAAGATTCCAATAGGAATGAGATATGCTGTGCGTTGAAAGAGACTTTAACCGGGGCCAAATCAGTCGGTTCTGTCCCACCCAACCTGTTCTCTGGATTTAGCTCCGGCAGACTTTTTTCTCTTCCCAAGTTAAAGATCCCTTTGAAAGGATATCGTTTCCAGTTCATAGAGTAAACTATATAAAAAAATAATAATAAGACGAGAGTACTGCACTCTGTCGAAAAAGTGATAGGTCAAGAAGTAGGACTCCAAAAGTGCAAAAGCCGACGACAAAGGTGTATTAGCACTAGAAAGAGGATTACTTTGAAGGAGATAGTGGTTTAAAGTTTATGTAAGTACCAAAAAAGCAATAATAGCAAAAGTTCTTAAACAGTCCTTGTGCAATATGAACAAGTTATACAAATATGGTAGATGTCATTAAAGATTTCAAAATTAATCTTCGTACTCGATTTCTATTTTTCCCTTGCGTACAACACGTTGTGACCAAAACCATTTAATTATTGCTTATTCAGTTATTTTTTAAGTTCTTTACCATTGAGCACTGATGATTTGCCTTGGCTTTGACACTAATCTAAACCTTCAGGCTCAGGTAATTTGACACCAAATTTTAATTTACAGTTACACTGCAAAAAATTTGGACAGTCTCCCTAAGGTCGATTGCAAGTTGAATAGCGTAGTTTTGTCAGCACTCCAAAAGTGTTCAATCGGATTTTATTTATGATATGTAGCTCGTTAGTCGATATGTATAGTGGTCTTATCTTTTCTCTGCTTGATCTAGAAACCTTTGACATTCGGGGGTATTATTAGAATAAAGTCTGGTCCCTGATTCTGTCCATACAAACTATGCCTGGAATAACTATGTAAGCTGCAGTTAAACGTAGCAGTTAATCGAAGGTACTGTATATATACAGAAGTCGTAATTCAAGGTTTTCGTTGATTAAATCATAATCCGTATTTAAAAACTAATTCTACGATCTAAGTACCGCGGATGAGCTTCATCAGTCACGTCATTTTATAAGGTATTTTCTCCCTGCAACTAGTATGACTTCGTGATGTAACGGTTAACACACTCGCCGGGTATTCGAGAGGTCTAGGGCTCGAATCCCGGCGAGGGCATTGCTCATTTTTCTGTCTCCTGCTTCAAAACAAAATAACCTAATGCCTCAGTGATTCTGAGCCTGTCTTCAAACATCTAGAAAGTTTAAACGCTTGTATTTCAGACAATGCTATGTTAGTGTCATTTCTACAAAATAGATCTATCTAAATCATTTATTCAAATTTATATACGAAATATGATCCCCTTTTTAAACAGGAAGTAAGATTCTTTCCTAAACGCGAAATAAAACACCATTTTCATTCCTGAAACACAATTTTTAACATTTCCTGTTGGTTTTTATGCACCTTTAATTTATTTTACGTAAGACACCTAAATATTGTATATTAATAAAATAATTCTACCCAAAATTAATTATCGCGGTATAACAAGTTGATATATGTAATTTTAAATCAATAAAGAATAAACAACAGAAATTCCAATGCACTTTGAAGAATAACGGAATGAACAGAATTAAGAAATATCTTGTTGCTGTACAGTAACATCAAATCGCATTATGAATATTCATATGGCTAATTCTCTATGTTACATTATCCTTTCGTTTTAAAAAAAAAACATGAAATTATTCCTATGTGTCTAGAAAAATATAACTAGCCTGTTATTTGTAAATTCCAAGTCTTCTACCCGCATTTCTAACAGTTCGTAAGAAAACAAAACTTACTCATACAGCTCAATGACATGGAAACAGCCATTTTCTAAGTTTTAGGACGTTAATTATTTGTATACTGAGTTATGTCACTTCACATGCATTTTCTTTCCTTTAAAAACCCTGTGAAACTGTAAAGGAATTTCTTTGAAATATAGGTATATTTCCTTCTTTTCCTAATGTGATTCATTTAAATATTGCAAATTAATAATCCTCTCTTTTAAGGCGTTTCCTTTGGTTAGGGATTTGGTGTGAATAATTAATTGCTGTGTTTAAACAGGATATGTATTTACAACTTAATGCTTCAAAAAATGAATGCTGAGATCCTTAGGAAAAAATATCCCCAATAATTATATCCCACAAAATATTTATTCAGATTCTTATAATGAATCATTGGGAAATTATTGATTGTTATAATTATTAAACATAATGCTTATTTATTTTTTACAAAATGTACAGTAATACTCTTTCTTTACAAAATGCCATATTGAACAATTATATTGGTTATGTAAGCCAATAAGTAACAATAAGTAACAGCAATGCTTTATTTCCTATTAACTATGTCTCATCTTTCCTTTTCAACTTTCAGTCAGAGAGTAAAATTTTTAATTGAAGCAAGAACTTTTAAAATCAGTCAATAAATTTATGATCAACTAAAATTTAATAAACAAAAGTAATTTCAGGTTAAAATTCCCTTTCTGAATATTTTGAATGTATATGAGCAAAGTGAAATGCAAATTTGACATTGATATTGTCACCGTTTCAACCCTTAAATAAGTCCTAAATGTTTTGATTATTGTTCTTAAAATCAGATCAGGTGTTTAAAAATTAATATCTCATAATATTTGTATTAAGAAACTTTTAAGTTCCATAGTTCTGTAATCTTTTACTCGTGAAAGGCTGAGGAGCTGCACCTGCTGGGTCCAATGTCATTCAGACAGTCCGTCTGAGAGTAGCTGCTCATTTGCAACTTTCACGAGAGCTCGCATCTACTAAAGTACTATATAGTAGTAATCCATCTCACTAAGTCGGAATAATTAATGTAGAATTCTGGGAGAGAAGGAAAGTAACAAAATGAGTAGCTGGCATTTTTCAAAGATCTAGGGTAATTTTCGCGACATTTTAAGGAGAGTTCGGTCAAACATTAGCGACAGTTTTAAAGGTATTTGTAGAAAATAACTCGACAAGCAAAGGGTTAAGTCTCCTTTTGAAATTTTAGTGACATTTAATTTTTCTCAGTTTATGCGGAGTTAAGTTCGAGCAAATTCTGTCAATCAAATTTAAGTCGAGCAAATTGTGTCAATCAAATTTAAGTCACAGATGGGAAACATTTTCCAATATCGAGAACTATAGTACTTCAAGAAATTTACAAAATTTCTTTCCTTCCTTAATGGATCGTTTCATACTTTTTTTTGTTTTTCTTTTTGACGTTTAACTGAATTTGCTAGGAATTTATATGCCTACAATTGAAATAAAATTTGTTAGGAAAGCAAGCATGTTATAAAAAGCTATGCATTGGTGTGAAGCGTTACATAAATTTTTATGAGAAATACAGAAGCTGAACTTGCATTACAAGTCGGGCTGCCGCAAAAAGTTCGATGTTTTTATGCAAACGAATGACATAAAGTCGTCAAGACATTTCGAATTAGAAACCTGTATCTAATTAAAATTTGCTTTACCTTCCAGAATATTGCCACTTGTTTCCTGTTATGCCAAAACTACTGCCTGTGTTGAATACTAACCATCCCCACCTGTAAAATTCATAAAATTTTAATTAAAAAGCATGAATTGTAATTTTACGTTTTGTGAATAATTTAGAAATCCAACTCTTTTGCTCATTTCTTAGTTTTGAATTAAACGTAAACTGATGCTACTTAAATGTGCCTGTCAAATTGAGTAATGATTGCAGTATGCTCTTTCTTTGTTTATGCTTCATTAACGACCGATTTTCTTAGGTCAGAAATAAAAAAGAAAGTGATAACGGTCTTTTTCGATCCTGGCATAAGAATTTACAAGGAATATCAGTTGGTCGAGAAACTAATATAATGCGAAGTAATTGTTTACTAAAAATGTTACCTGAAACTACGCCTATTGTAAGGCAAAGCAATTATTTAGTTTGGCGCATACGTAATAGCTTATTACTGTCAATTTAACTAAATTATCTTTTATATTTTGCTAGTTGGCTTGTGAAATATTATGGAGGGAGGGAAATAATACAGACTGTAGTAAATAAAGATTCTCCTGTGTTACTTATTTTAACATTCTGTTGAAATCTACAGCTTAGTACTTTCTCCATATTAATCATAACAAAAGTGATACCTCTGCGATTTTGGTAACACCAGTGAGTATGAAATTCGACAAATACTTTTACTTCTCAAATACTTCCTTGTAAACACGCTATTCATGATCCCTAGAATAACTAATCGGAATGCCCATTTATTTTGAAATTAACCTATTTATTTGAATAATCCGCTCAATCAAATAATAGTCGCACTCAGTCTATTTTAAGCCTTCTTAAAATAAGGCTCACTGTAGTCCGACGTTAAACGGGCTAACCATGAAGGAAACCATTCAGCACAATTGTACACTATTTTACACGGATATTGTGATGGAAGGATGAAATGTTAAAATTTCAGGTAATTTTTAAATACAGGCATGTAGAAACAAGCACTCTTCCTCTCTGCCAAAAATAGCAGTTATGATATGGCTGGAGCCCCACTGCCACAGGTGTTTTTACGTGAACAATCCGCGCACTATAAGGGAAAAAAATACGAAATTTCTTTGATTTTTTATTATATAAATATTAAATTAATTATTGAATTGATTTTTAATCATTATTAAGCAAAGTATAATTGTGAATATCCAAGGACCATTTTATTTCTCAGAACTGTAAATCATTTTATCCTCATTTGACTTATTCAATTAGAGCATCTTTTGTGCCATCGGACGCATTTCATGCATTACATTTACGAAATATTTTCATAATTAGTCATCAAATCTGATGAAATCTGTGCCAAGATACCTCAATCCTTTTATATATTGCAATTTCTGCCCAGTTATTGTTAAAAGCATAGCGTTTTAATGCTATGAGAGTTGTTGATGATAAAATTGTTGTTAAAGGAAAATTTGGTTAAAAGCATATACGAATGTACACAATGAACCAGCCTTTGAGGGTAGTGTCTTTCATAACATCCTTAAATAGTTCATTCAAACAAAAATCAAGGTTCTGCAGCTTAGGTATCACTTCTCCAGGTATAATTATTTTATTAAATCTTAAAGAATTCGAATGTTCTTTCTAGCTTCATTATTTGTTTAAATCTTAAAACATTTGTAAGTCCTTTTTCTCTTCCTTCGTTACATGACCCCGAACAGTTTCAAGAACAAGCATCCTAAATTTTAAAGCAACAAATAATAAGCAACAGGAATCTCAGTAACATGACTTAACTAGCAAAATATAATTTCGCAGGTTAAACAGAGTTCCTTCCTCAGCTACGGAAGTGAAAATGGAGAAAAAGGAACATATGCCTACATTAGAAAAACAGAAGGAAATTCAAGAATATTCTAGCTAAATGATAAAAATGAAGCTTCTAGCGGCACTACTGACCGTAACGTAAAAGAAAAACAACTAAGAAATAAATTCTTGAAAAGCTGGCGGGTACGAGAACGGTAATTGGGATCATTGACCAAATGTGAAAGATTTTTATCGGTACAAAGAAACTTCAAGAAATCTAATTCACCAAAGGCCGACGTTTTTTCAATAATGGTAGTTGCAGAGAAATGAAAAATGAGATTTTATGCCTTTTTCTTACCAATAATAATGGGCAATAGAGAATTAATGAGATTATGTTTCCCTAAAATAAGTTTCGCGTTCTTTAATGTGAAATTTCAAGGTTGTTCTTGCTTGATTAACATATACTGCCTAGGAAAGCTGTAAATACCTCAGGATTTCATATGAGGAACAAAATGTTTAAGCATGGGGTGATCTGGGAATGTTTAACATTTTAAATAACTTGTAGAGTAATTAGGTTATTTTGAATTATCCTCCATTGGAACACTGGAGGATAATGATTTCATTTCAAATGAAACAATGAGGAAATCTTTAGGAGAAATGTTTTTTGATTTAATAACAAGCTGGTCGAATTTTTTGTGGTGCTTCCTTTTCTAGAAGAGAATCTGGAAGTTGAATATCTAGTCTATGAATAAGGCGCAGTGTTTAGGTTTGGACTAATCGAATAGAAAGTAATACCAATTTTGTATTCGTAAAAGGCAAATTATATATTAAATTTCGCGGTATAGTTCCGCTATTTTGATAATACAATGGCTGTGTTTGACGATAAAAAGATTTATCTAAGATTCTCTTTGTTATGAATTCAAATGATCCTGTTACTCATTTCTCTTCTGAACTCAAGGCACCTAATTCTCTCATCCTGGTCACACGCAACCAATCTAACTTCAATACAACTATATATTGCAAATGCTCACTAATTTGACTTCCCCTGTACTTCCTTATGTTATTTGGCTAAACAAAAATAGACTTTATTTTATTCCGCCGTTTCTCATGAAATGAAAGTTTGGTTCTCCAAAAAGCTGTTGATCAAAAACTCAAATGTTCAGTTGCGATTGCAACTGACAGAATTTTCTCATCTCATATTAATGACCAAGTGGTTAAAAATTGTACATCTAAACATAAAAAAACTTTCATTTAAGCCGATTATAATAATTGAGCAGTAAATCTATTCTTTCCATTTAATAGCTGTAAACTGCAGATATTTTACATAAGTTTATTTTTTGTGTCACTTTTCTCCTACTTATAAATTTCCGTAATTCATTGCTTGAAGACCTCATAAACTTGAAGGATATTTTTAAAAATCCTAAAATCTTTTATATCCTCAACTGCCCATTACTACCAATGAAATAAAACTTTTCTATTTCTCTGCAGACAAAATTATTCCAAAAAAAAAAAAATCTTCCATTGGCCTATTAGAATTCTTAGAAGCATTTCATATCCATAAAAGTCTTTCGATTCTGGTAAACTGATTTACCGCTCTTTTTACTGTCAGCTTTTCTACAACTCATTTCTTAGTTACTTTACATTCGCTTTATGGTAAAAAAAATGGGCGTTTTTCACTATTTAGCTTAACAGGGACTTCGTTCCTTACTATTTAGCTAAAATATTGTTTAATTTTTCTGATGTGCCAATATGTTTCTTTTCCGTCATTTTCTCTCCGATAAATGAAAATGAAGCGTCTTGTAAATTTAGTCACATTACATCAATTGCTGATGTTCATTATTAATTGTTTTAGTATTTAATTCTTCGGAATGTCCTTTTTTTTATAATTAACGTGCTATTTGCGTTAAGTATTGCTCCATTTTGATCTCTTCCAAATCTAGTATTCTTTTATCCACAATAAATTCAGTGACATTTCGACACATTTAAAATTATGTGTAAAACACGACGTAAATTTTTATTTCAAAATAAAAAAAAAAATCATGTATTCTGCGAACCCTAATTTTTTATTACTATTTTTTAATTAATTATATTTTTATTTCTTCTTATTTAATAGTTTACTTATTTATTTATTTTTTTATTTTTATTTTCAAAGAAAATTATAGGCTTGGTTGCGGAAATATCTTATTCTAATTTATCTAAAGCTTTGTAGATAAAACAGATCTGTTGAATGTAGAGTGAAATATTTCAAAATGTATTTCGTTATAATAAAGAAAGACAGGAACTTCTCATCAAAAAAGAAGTGGAGAGCGCAGAACTAAAGAACACTGGTGTATGCATCAAATAGAGCCTACTACTATTAATATATTCTTAATTTTTTTACCAAAAATAATTAGAAGAATTAATTAAAAGTACATACAACATTATGTAAGGTTGATATTTCAGTGCTGTTAAAATTCTGAATTACTTACGAAATTTTCTTCAAATAATATATTACCTATTATATTTGGAATTGAAGTTACTTTTAAAAATTAAGCAACAATAAGCAGTATTAAGAAATACTATTTTTTTCCTGAAACTGTAGTAATACAGTTAAACTCACCACAATGTGAACATTCCAATAATAGCATTGCCAGGATCTCCCATAGCCAAAGAGCTGGTACCTTGATCATACCTGTGTAACCTTGGTTTAAGCAGCAGAGCTGCTACAAGTGCCGAAGCCCCTCCAGTTAAATGGACTGCGCAAGATCCAGCAAAATCAATGGCTCCAAGCTTCTTCAAAAATCCATGTTCACCCCACATCCAACCAGCTGGAATGCAGTAAGTAATTGTATTTAGAAAAGAAAATACTATATAAGCATTAAAATCTGCTCTTTCTGCCATTGCACCAGACACAATAGTCGTTGCGGTTGTGGCAAAGGATAACTGAAAAATGAAAGTTGCGAACACTCCCCCATCATTGTCAGCGTCTACCATAAACGATCCAACACCACAAAAAATGCCGAGGTTCCTGGTCCTTGTCCATATTGTAATCCATAGCCAAACATCCAGTAAGAAAGTCCACCAAGAACGACATCCACGGCATTCTTCATTAATATATTCACTTCATTCTTTTTGGATACAGCACCTGATTCTAGAAGCCCGAATCCTGGAGGGGGAAAAGGTACTCGCATTATGAAATTTTAGATTACAGTCTAAGATCCTGATGAAGACATTGCTACTAAACATGCAAAAATTTGCAAATAATAAAAAAATTAAATATTAAATTTTAAAAAATATTTAGCAGTTTTCCTGAAGTAAAAATAGCATTTACAATTTCAAACTCATAAAACTAAATCTTTAATGTTGAATAAAATTAAAATTCAACCCAAAAAGAATTTAAATTTTAAACATTCTGACATTTGCTTTTCCATTTCCTTTTTGAACTCAAAATAGTACGAATAGAGAGCTATTAAAATATGAAAAGAAAGTGTCATTATTTGTATGACGTCATGTGTAAAGATGATTGTAATCTATATGGTGTTACAAAATTTCTTCAACCTTTTTCAATTTTTGTGGATTCAGGTCATAGTGTACAGAAGAAGTAGAGGCAGAAATTCTTCATTCGGAAGTATTTGTAGTATGCAATAACACTTGCTGCAAATGTTATTAAGAAGTTCAGATTTTTACAAAAATAATTCTGTTCATTAAGTTGATGCGGGACACGCATTTATAAGGCAAGGATAAATAAAATATCATCATTAACTAGCCACAAAATGCTCTCGTATTTCTTATTTTTAGTCACAATGGGCAGGATTCCATTGCTAACTGAAAATAATAATACTTCTTCGAAGTGTTGAACACTTCAGCAATTAATAAGCAAGGCATATTATTTTCCAGCAGCAGCACCAATTATAACCAACACCACACTACTTTCCCGTAGTTGTTATTTAGCAACTACGTGAAAGACGCAAAATAATGCAATGCAATATTTCTCAGATCTGTTCAGTATTCTATCCAATGCAATACTGCTTACAACTGAAAGCAGTCAGCTTTGGGTATTAGCTTCATATCTCTTCCCTGTCTTTTAATAAACTATGATCAAGCATAATGCTATGAGGTTGGGCAAAGAAGCTCAATTCCGGGAAATAGAAATATCAATAGCTTAAGGGGGACAGTTCTATATATCCCGTTCTACTGGGCCGATTGACAAAATTCAAATTGCATTTTTCATGTCTCGAAAGCGCGACTCAGGACATATTATACATTAGATGTATATATAGCATTGTTCTAACATAGGTATTTTGACACAAAATAGGACTTTTTTCTGAAAATAACATACAAATTTTTTTTCCATATTTCGATTCCACGACTGAGACTATGCCTAGATATTAAATGTTGCAAACTTTGGTGCGAAATTTAGGGAGAAATTCAAAAATTTATCTTGGCACACTTTTTTCAGTTTTCGCCAAGAATAATTCACTTGGCGAGCTTCTTAATATGTGGCAACCTATTTTCCTTTCCCTTCCATTACGCCGGAGCGGAAAAAAAAGACACCTCGTTCCTTACCTTTTTACACTGTGCATGGACGGAAAAAAAAGGCACATCGTTTCTACTTCCAAATAATAAAGCAAATTGGACACAAATTGATATGCATACAGATTTCGACGGAGAACGATTGTCGCTACAGCGCATCTGATCTGCGCAAACTGGCAGGATATTTAAAAGGAGAAATTACTATTCCAGGTCATAAATTCTTCACGAATTTCATTCCGTGTACTCTGGTAGATTTTAAGTAACTATGCCTCGCATACAGGTGCTCGAACAATATGTGCAAATGAGGAATTTGAGAGAGGTCATGTAGTTGGGTTTAAAGAAGCCGGTTGATCTTATCGGCGAATAGGTCGACATTTGAGCAGGAGCGATGCCACTATTAGACAATGTTGGCAGGAATGAGTGAACCATAGCCGCACACAGCGTCATGAAGGAAGTGGTAGACCTAGAGAAACGACAGAACGTGAAGACCGAGCAATCGTCAGAGCGGCACTCACAGCCCCAGATGCATCATTATCATGGATTGTAGTGCTTCAGTGACCGGAAGGACCATTCATAGACGGCTCACACAAAGGAGGCTAAGGTCACGGCGCCCCTTGCGCTGACTACCATTGACCTCTGTACAACGTCAAGCCCGTTTGCAGTGGTTTCGGGCTCATTCGCACTGAAATGTCACTGACTGGAGTAGAATAGTCTTCAGTGATGAGTTCCGCTCTGAACTGAGCTCCGATGACCAGCGAAGGCGAGTCTGGAGACGCTCCGGACAGCGGTGTGATACCAACCTGACTGTCTTCCGGCAGACAGGCCGACAACCAGGAGTGATGGTCTGGGGTGCCATTTCATTTCATAGTAGGACCCTTTGGTTATCAACCTTACAGCAGAGCGGTACGTCGACGAAGTTCTAAGGCCCGTTGTGTAGTCCTTCATGTCACGCCACCCTGGGCTTACATTCCAGCAAGATAATGCCCGTCCCCACACTGCACATGTTTCTACGGCTTGCCTTAGTGCTTGCTGAACATTACCTTGGCTAGCAAGGTCGCCGGATCTCTCTCCTATTGAGCACGTTTGGAGCAATGTGGGCAGGGCCCTCCAACCAGCTCGGGATGTTGACGATCTAACGCGCCAGTTGGACAGAATTTAGCACGATATCCCTCAGGAGGACATCCTCTATCAATCGATGCCAAGCCGAATAACTGCTTGCATATGGGCCAGAGGTGGACAAATGCGTTACTGACTTTTTCACTTTGCGAAGCTCTATCACTTCAATAAATCAGCCAATTTTTCTCAAACTGTAATCATTTGTTTTTCTTGTACACGTACATTCACTTCTACCGATTTTTCGTTCCATTCGGATAATTCCTTCTTGGTGCGTCGTTTTTTTTTTTTTTTTTTTTTTTTTTTGTCTAAGAGTGTATAAATTCGCGTATATCTTCGGAAATTTTGAATAAAGTGTAAAACTGTAATCTTTCTTTGCAGGTATGCTTAGAAATACGCCCACTTTAAGAAAATGGTAAAAATTTGATAGATTATAAGTTCAAAAGTGTTTTTGAACAAGTTTATAAAAATTATTTAAAAATACAAATTTTAAAAATAAATCATAAAATGTGGGTGAATTTTATTTGGAATGAACCTAAATTTCGAAATGTGAAAGGAAGAATCAAATAAGTTTCATAAAAAAGAGATATTACCAAACTCAATTAACATTGAGGAGCTGAAATTTTGAGAGTTAATTTTTTAAAAACTACTCTTGCGATTTTTACAAAACTTGGTAGTTTGGCGTAATTTGAGTCGTAGAATCGAAATATGGAAAAAAAATGGTATGTTATTTCAGAAAAAGTTCGATGTGTTATAATACCTATATTACAAAGCTATATATAAATGTAATACATATTCTAAGTCGCGCTTTCGAGGCATGAAAAACGCAAGTTTAATTTCGTCAATCGCCCCAGTACAACGGGAGTTATAGAACTGTCACTTTTCTTTTTTTTTTTTTTAAACGCGCAAAGTACTTTTAAATTTAAAGATGTTTCTTAAAATTTATGCTGATAGTTATGCAACATTGCTTCTGTTGTTTTATATTATTTATTTTGAATTTTTCTGCTTCTATTCCGTCACACACACACACACACACACATATATATATATATATAAATTGTAGTAAGCTCGCCTAAAAGTTACCAAGAGCTGCTGCTCCAAAAGGTTCAACACGTTTTCAAAAAAATTAAGATGACCAAGATGACCAAGATGTTTTCTAGACCAAAATGGTTTTTTAAAAATTGTTATTACTGCTTTGCTTGATAAATTATTCTTATATATATATATATAAGAATTTATCTAGTTTATTAGTTAATATTTTTAGCTTTAGAAATTTCATATTGCTTTATTTTATGGAAATTGAATGAAAAAGTAAATTTAATTCTTGAACCTTTTGCTGGTATGCGGGAATGTAGCTGATGTATTCGTTAGAACAATAAGCATAATACATGCTATACATAAGTGAAAAAAAAGTGGCCAGCTAATAAGAAATGTAAACCAAATCTTTAACGTTTGATTCATTAATCTACGCAAAACTAATGGAAACAACAAGAGAAAGTTTTAATGGTAGCAGCTCATATCTAAGCATGCTGTAAATTGACTAGCAAATTTAAAGTACTTCCTTTATACCTAAATAAATAAATTTAAGAGACCTGACCTTTTTGATAAAGCAGGTGAATTTCCCTTCAGAAATTACGATCGATTTCAAATGAATATCTTGTAATAAAAAGTAAAAATTCCAAGAATTTTGTCCTAAATCAAGAATTAATATTATAATATTCCCATTTTAAGTTGTAGTGACTTTCTCGTTAATTAACTTACTATAGCTGAAAGGGGAAAAATATATGTAAAGGAAGAGAAAGAATAAGTAATGAGATAATAACGTTGAAGCTGCATATTAGAGTTTTAAAAGAAACATATTTCAGATCAGTTAGTCGCCTATATATCTCAAGAGATTGTTCGGAAATTTTATGACTGAGTTAAGTCAAATTTCATGACTTATAACAATATTTACACGCAGATATTAGTTATTACTTCTGCTATTCTATACCTCTGAAATTGTTCTAACTTATAAATATGTAATGCGTTATAAAACGTGACATATATTCTAAAACATAATCATGTAATAAAGCATAAAATATGTTCTAAAATATAATCATGTAACATATTATAAAGGAAATTATTCACCCTGTGAAATGTATCATGCGATCTGAATTGCTTATCTAATCAATTTCACTAGACCCCTATAACTCCTGAAATAACACAGTGCATGCTGGCAACTGTAGTTGGATGCAAAATTTTATAAGAAGTTTTGTTTCTTTTTTGGCAACATACTTTATTTGTGTGATGTTTTTTTCCTTGGTTTTTGTAATCTGCTGCAGATGTAAATCGTGTGTCTGTGAATCATAAGATTATCGTATATTTACATTTTAACTCATGTGATAATGTCAAATTAGTATCTTCAGATGAGCGATCGGAACAGATAGAAAACTTATTTGCTTTTCGTGCTTCATTGTGGATGAACTGCATTGTATAAATTATTCATTAGATACAAATTTTGATCATTGAATTATGTTTGGTCGTTTATTAACTAATGAAGAAGAAGAAAAAACCTCATCACTAGATGATGATTTCGATGATTCGGGGCTAACAGAAATTGTTGGTGGTAAATTGACCTTTAATGATGGAGAAAATGCTGGATCATCAACTGAGAAATTTCGTAAGTTATTTTGACTGCGATATTTAGAAAAATGAGAAGCAAATAATAGGTTTAGTGGTAAAATATGGATTTCCTAATTATTTAGGAATGTTTATGTAAGGTAACGAGTTCAAAAAAGAATCGGATAACTAATTATTGTAATATTATTTCTTTTCATTAACACGTGCTAATAACCCACGTGTGTACTTTTAAGTAAGCATTCTTTTGTTAAATATCCAGATTTTGTGCCACTTTATGGGCATTTATTCTGAATTATGTAAGTTTAATATTTATATTTAGTTTGATTTACATTTGTATTTTAAATACTTGATACTGTTATGTTTACTTTCTAAATAGATTTATCACAAAAGTTTTTGATATAAAAGTAAATATTTTTACAGCCCCTAAAAGAGAATAATGTTAATTAAGTGTGGCAATAGTGAAAAATATAAATTTATACAACCCTTCAGACATATTTCCCTTAAAAAGGAACGACACATAATACTGCTATTAGATTTTGAGAAATATTAACTTTACTTAAGAAAATCATGCATATTTCGTATCTCAAATTGCTATTCTTGTAATCTGTGTAGGGTTATTTGGTTTACTAGGTAACTTATTGTTTAATTTTTTTTTAAATTTAAATTTCTTAAGATAAATGTACTGAATAATGAAAAAATAATTTGTTTAGTTATCACAATATTCATGATTATATGTGACTAAATTGAATATGATTGCATGTGTTGTTTCTATTGTTCCTTGAATTCTGTTTTTAATGTACTGTTACTGTTCTTTTATTTCCATTACTCTACACTCATATGCAGAATTAAGAGAATTTGCAAATTATGTCTATTTATATGAAACATATTGAACCAAAGGTACTAATTATACCACGGAAGAATTATGCAAATACGCTTAAGTTGAATACGTCATTGTACATATGCATGTCTGCGGAGCTGTGTTTGTGGAGAAGATATAGATATGATGCATAGGGGTTTTTGGCGACTTGTGGGCTTGTACTCCTCTGTGGCATTTGCTGTATTTCTTCCAAGGCTTCGGTAAATTTTATAAGGTATCAGGTAAAATGAGTAGCCACGAGCAAATAGAAGGTATAATGAGATGGAGAATTGTTGGTAAACTGGATGCAGGGCAATCAGAAACGCAAGTGGCTACAAAGCTCGATGTAATGCCCATTGTTGCCTGCAATTTGTGGAAAGAAATTCAAGACATTGGATCCATATGGAGAAGACCTAGACAAGGTTGACCAAGATCCATAATGACGAACGATTATCATTATTTGACTCTTTCATTGCAATGACATAAAACTGCTATAGCTTCACAGCTCTCACATCAGCTGTATATTGGCATTGGAATCCAAATTTCATAGTCTACAGTTGTCCAAAGGCTTCATGAGATAGGTTTGTTCACTGCAGCACACCAAAGAGAGCATCTAGCATGAACAGATAACATGTACCTTGGATCACACTTTAATGGAATACTGTGCTTTTTACAGATGAGTCAAGATTCAACCTAGACGTTAATTCTTGGCGTACCTGTATCTGGAAAGAGTCTGGAACATGTTATCATCCCTTGCTCATCAGGGAAAAGGTTTATTACGGTGATGGAAGGTTCAAAGATTCGGGCAGACACTATATTGGGCAGCCACACACCCCCTGCATGTGTTTGACAAAGACTTCCTGACTATCCTGACTGAAATATCGAGAGGAGATCTTAGAGCCCTATGTTTGACTTTTCAGGGGTGCAGTTGGTCCACTGTTCCTGTTAATAGATGCAATGCTCATTTGCATAGTGCTGAGCTGGCTGATGATTACCTGGAAAGTGAGGATATGGATTGGCTTCCAAATGTTATGAACTTAACCCTGTGTCTGGGACACTCTTGGGAGGGAAATTTCATCTCATTTTCAACTCCGAAAAGAATCCCGGAGTTGGAAATGTCTTGTTGCAGGAGTGGGATTAGTTGCCATAGGAGCTTTAAAATTGCTTCCTGTCCAGTAATCTATCATCTTGCATGACCTGTCTGGATGTGAGAAGGTACCATAGCCCATCTTAGACTCATTTGCTGTTTGATATTAAAATGAGGATTTTGGACACTGTGAGCTTTACTGATAATCTTGTGTACATAAAATGACTTTTGAATGGTACATCTTTTTTCTCTGTTATAAATGTATATTCATACCATATTTCATTAAAACCTGTCCATTAGTTTTTCAGAAATTCGATATAATATGCAAATTCTCATATTTTTGCACACGATAGTATTGTATCACATATGACTAAAAATAAGCTCTTTTGAAAATACTCTTATATGTGTCCTCAAGTCGTCAAATATTTTTGGCGAGAAACTTCACAGTGCCATATTACTATCTAAATTTTTTGTCTACAATTCGAACTTTAAGCCTAAAATGTCTCCAAAAATGTGGTTTTCGCACATTCCAAAACCACGTTTTGAACACACAATTTAAGCTAAAAATCTGAAACAAAAACAAAAAATTTAGATAGCAAAGATGTAGTTTCTAACCAAAAATATTTGACAAGAATCTATGTACACAGTGATATGTTTTAACTTAAAAAAACACCTACGAATTGCACAATCTAGGCAGCGAAAGAATCTACGAACTATGTACACCTCGCTTTAATAAATTAACAACAATAAATTTCAAAGAATACCATGTACACAGCATTCTGTTTCAACTTTAAAAAACACCTACGAATTGCACAATCTAGGCAGTGAAAGAATCTACGAACTACACATAGCTTGCTTTAATAAATTAACGTAACAACATTAAATTTCAAAGAATACCATGTACACAGTGTTCGGTTTCAACTTTAGGTTGATCTTTGGATTATGGTAACTTGGCGAAAATTTGGCAACCAACTCTGCTACAGCAACCCTCTATTTTTTTTTCGCCGCCATTTTGTCTTCACGAAGTAAAGACATGTTTCTTTTCTTTTTATTTACTGAACACTTTTCCCAACAATCTACTACCCGAATTACAATTATGCTAGGAATTTTATGTTATAAATTTACTTAATCATGACAAATATTAACTTAAAAATTGGGAAAAAGTGCACAATTGCAAACTCCTTGCGCGTTTTTCAGAATAGCACATACACATAAACCATTTACACGTCGACTTATTTTTACTTAGAAAAACATCCCAGAATTGCACAAAAAATGGCATTGCGCACACTCTTGACTTTATCCATCTACACTGCTATTTTCTTATGAATTACAAAAATTTGCACGAAAATGCAGGAAAATTTTGTGAATCTTTAAACTCTGTAAAAAGCACATACAGTCAAAAGTCATTAATCCGGACTCGTCGGGACTTCGGCGATTCCGGATTATCGATTTTTCCGGATTATAGATCATTAGTTTAAATCTCGTAGGATGGCATGCAGAAATTCTAAAAATTAAAAAATGAAACCGTTTTATGAAATAAAGAACATTATATCTAAAGGGTATCAAAATTTACAAAAGAAAAAGCTTAATATTTTTGTTTACTTAAATAAACATTTCTTTCAATGTAAGTTGTTTAAGTTTTGCTTCGTTTCATGTGATAATACTTTCTCTTTAATTCTTTAAAGACATAATTTCTTTGTTCAGTTAAAGTTCCGCGTTCAAGTCCTATAATTGCTGTGTCAAAACACCGACTAATTTGTCAATCGAAATTTTTTCGTTTTCAATAACCTCTGTTACTTTTCTTCGCTATCGGAAGCGAATTATAATGACAAGGAACTTGTTTTAAATCATATCAAAGACGAGCTATCGAAATGAAATACTACATTTGGTAAGGAAATTATAGCCAAATAATAAACATCCGATCTTCAATTATAAAGCCAATAAAATAAAAACATCTGCCTTGAAGATAAGGAAGTGCTGACAGAAACTTCCAATTCATTACGCGCCCCGCCGCCGGCGTTTTCCCCGCCGAGCACGTGGAATTGATAAACAGATATTTGGATTCAAAACATACTTTCCTTTAGATCTTTTACATATTAACAATATATATCGGAAATTCTATTTGATATAATCGAAAGTTTAAGCTTACTTTTATAAAATTGCTCTTACAGTCTGCAAAAAATAATAGCCGATCCAAATCGAAAATTAAGAACAACACAATCATCAACATAACTGAAATAGATAATTAGATAATTTTAGCTTATACGTCCATTATACATAAAACGCGCACGCGAAAACGTATTCTGCACTGCGTACACTCATATGCGCAGTAGTAAAGGTCTTACGCGCGCGTTAAGCGCCTATGCGCATGTGTCAACGCGGCGCTGCGCAGAAGTTTTTAGTTTTGAGGTCCGGATTATAGATCATTCCGAATTATGGGTGTCCGAATTAACGACTTTTGACTGTATATGAAATTACCTGATCGTGAAAAAGTATATACCCTTTCCAAAGATGAAATTTCCACGTATAAAATAAATAAAATATCCAAAAACATTTACCTCTAAATTATCTATTACATTATAAACGTCACCAACAAATTCATACCACAAACATTACAAATGGTTACAAATACTTAGTTTCAAATATTTAAATTACTTCCATGCATGTTTACTTCAACTGAAACGTGTGCCAAATTCCTGCAAACATAAAATTCCAAAATAACTATCATTTAATTGAAATATCACTAAACCTGTACACGTCGACTTATTTTTACTTAAAAAAATCCCAGAATTGCACAAAAATGGGCATTGTGCACACTCTTCACTATATCCATGTACACTGCTTTTTTTCTCATAAATTAAAATTCACGAAAATGCATGAAAATGCTCAACGTATGCTACTCAAAACGTATCCAAAAATACTACACCATATAACTCACAAAATCACAATCATTAAAATTAAATATAATTAAATTAAAAACCTACTAAAATATAATAAGCACATACATTAAATTAATAAAAATAGATTACAATCCTAATTACTTTAACTAAATCATTGCTAATAACAATTTTTCCAATAATACCATATTAATTTATTT